TTATGAGTATCGCAGGACCATGTGATGGTGAAGCACTTATTTACAAATAAAAAATTCGGTGTTGTATTTACAATATGATGGCTTACGGCTGGTACAAACTGAGGGGACGGCTAGAATTCGAAAAATAAAGTACAGAGTGCCCTAAAAAATTATAGATAGCTCTTCCATAATCAATCGTTCTAAGTAAGCCCCAATGTTTCAGCTTGAAGAGCTACTTGGAACTCAAGTTCCTACTTACAAACGGAACGAACCTATAGCCATTGCGGTAGGACAACGGCATATAATTGTAGGTGGCTTCATTGGCATTATTATTATTCGCACTGGCGTGAAGGAACTTCTCTGCTAGCGCTATTAGCGTGCCGAGTCCAAATTTGGTAGCCGTTAAACATACTATCTTGTATCAAGGGGTAAGTGCTTAACAGTGGTACCAAAGCCTTCAACAATTCTACACTGTAATTCTACCGTTTCGCTAAACGTATTATGAGTATAGTTTGAGTTCAACCCCACCCTTCAGAGTGAATTATTAAAACCCAGAAAGTTGATAATAGAAGTATTAACAATCAAACAGTGGGGATTTTTCTTGCGATATCCTGTATAGCATAATCAGAGAACAACTTTGGAACGTTTGTCATAAGTACTGAGCGAAAGTCCTTTCCGTTTCATCGCTCCTCTCTTGCTGATCGTAGCATTAAATCGATGGACTTCTACACTGTCTGTGTTCGAAATCGAGATATACACATCCCCATTTGGACGGCAGCACACAACGTGTGCATTTCGGCACTCATACACTTCTCGTTCATCGAGAATAGTTCTAAAACAAACTTGAACAAATACTTTCATTCCTCGAGGACCACTAACTCTCACTGACACAACGATACTCACCTAGAATCCAGCCCTGTGTATTCAGCAACCTGCATAATTTCAATAGAATCGTAGTGGACCACATATAAATACGGTGCAGTGAATACTAAAACCAAGACGCAATATCTCTAAATGATTTGACTTTTATTATGTCTTACCAAATTCCATGGGCATCTGCTCCCACTCTACCGTTTGACTGCGAGTTCGCTCTCCTCGAGAATTCACGAATGCACCATAGTCTGCAATTGTATAGAAGAGAAATACATCTACACAACAAATCACCCACTTTGATACGCCAGAAGAACTTCATCCTCTCCTATGGTGAGTAGGGCAATAGGATAATCCGCTATGTTTGAATCAGCTACTCGCAAAGGTTCCAACTGTCCTCTGCCAAATTGAACAAAGTAGAAGCTATCGGATCCGAAATAGAGGCCGTGATTACTTGAAGTGAGACACATTGCTGGTTCGTTTGTTTCAATCACCTGAACAAGGAGATATCTCTTCCTAAGAATTCATATTAGAACTGTGTAAATCTAGCCTGATGTCCAGTAAAGACATCTCGCGCCGCATTATATTTAAGCACGTGAATCTTCGTAGAGCCAGCAGCACACAGATACCTGAATAAAGATATTTTGTATGATTAGATGTTTCGACTAAGAATAGCTCACTGATTCCCGTTCTGTTGATGGTAAGCAAGCGCGTGTAAGTTATCGTATCCACCTAGGATGTCTGCGCGTAGACCAGGTTGAACAGAATGTAATTCAGATTTCAAAGTGGACAGTGGAACTAGTGCAAGTATACGCCTGTGATCCATAATAAAAGCGAGAATATTGAGATTTGGTAGACACTCTATCTAAACATAATCAACGTTATCCACATACATTGAATAAAATTTATATGCATTCTCTTTATTTGTACTAAAAAATCAAATTACTCACAGCTGTTACCGAATTGAATCCGCTAATTCTCAAAGGGACTCTTGGACCGCTCATATATGTAAAGAACAGGCCACTCTGAGCTCCTATGAGAAAGTATTCATCAAACACCTAAATGTTGAACTAATAGTTATGCACACAAAAAGATGGTAGTTTCAACACCTACACAAATAGTGTGAATAGTGAGATTATTTGGTGTTGACAAAACCAGGACACATGACTGCTCCGAAAAAGAGCTTGGTCTTCGAGTGAGCATCATTTTTCTGGTGGACGCATTCTGAAGGGCTTCTGCCCACCGTTTTGCCGTTTGTATAGACGGAGCCAAGATGTAGACATTTCGGCTGAAATTTTCCCGATCATGGTTTAAAGTCAGCTTTTCCTACTTTTGAACAAAGTCATTAACTCGCTTACGTTTCGGTTCTTACATGCACAATATTATGGGAAATTTGAGCGCTGTCCGTTTTCACGCCAGGCACTTCGCTTCCAACGCGAACTAATCGAAGCTCTTTCTCGAGATCAATCTTAAAAGAGATGACATACGTCTGCACATGAATCAATGGACGTGTTTACTGAGAGGCATTGTTTTCGGAGATCTGATTGTGCTGCATCGTGATCATAGAAAACAAGTCGCTTTTCGTCCATTTCACCCCAAACAGATTGCCATTCCCGTGTATTTGAATCATCCCTAACCAATGAACCATATAAGCGATAAAGATTGGAGATAAAAGTCAACTTACCTGAACATCCTCACCCATCCATTCATTTTTCCATTTGGTGCACTATATGAATCTAGATAAAAGTTGGCGCACTGATCAGGAAGACCGCAAGTGTTCACCACACGAGATGCGCATTGTGAATGCACAATAATACCGCAATGTGTGCATCGCTTCTTTTTGCCAAACTGAAGTGAAATGTCGGCAGTCATAAAGAAAATGCTGCTTTTCAAATAAACGGTTTATACAGCTCAAAAAAAAACTTGTTTAATACTCGCTTAGACATAAAAAAAAGCATAGAAACAAACCGTTGGCACGCCAATGAAGCACACTGCACATTTGATGCTGAACAGCCCAAAATGCCTCAATTCTGTCCACCTGTAAAGCAACCATATATCATGATAGACAAAAGAGAAAAAAAGGAATTGACTTTTACCTATGAGGAATATCATGCCTCATCATACCCTTCTGTGGTGTGCCTATTGTAGCAGCTTTACTGTGCTGATAAGGGGTGCATCGAATCTCGCTAACAGATTTTGACTGTAGCTCAGCCATGGGATGTTCTGTTAGGATGTTGCTGTGTGGAGCTGATGGTTGAGTACGATAACCTTTTGGCACAGGCGGTGGCAACTTTTTTCGTAAATCCAATTCTAACAATAAAACAAAAAATGATTTGAAGGCTTCTGTAAACCTTGGAGTGAAGTCACCTTTTTTCTTCTCCTCAAGTTCTTTGAGTAAACTCGACTTTTCATTTTCAAGCTCTTCGACTACATCAGCATCGATAATCTCCTAAACAATATAACATTTGTAGTTTGCAAAAAACTGCGCTTGTGCCGTTCAAGCAATTAACCAGTGAACTTTCGGTAGGCGTGCGTAGTAGAGTGCTTCTTCTACTGAGTTTTGGCAAATCCTTAGCTTTGATTTGAGACTGTAGGTACGCTTCCAGCTTTTCCTTTTCTCGAAGTACTTCTTCCAAATTGATTACTTCATCCTCTAACTTGTTCTAGATCAGAATATGAGAAAATCAACCAACAAAAAAATTGACCGTGTTATGCACTCAAAAAGACCTACCATGCGCTCTTCGTTGTTTGCCACTTGCTCTGCCATTTCGTGACAGGTTTCCTTCGCCATCTCTGCTTCTTTCTTGTACTGATCTATCTTCACTAAGGCATCGGTCAAACCTCCACGAAGTTTCTTGTTCTCTTCTGTAGTTTCTCTTTCTCGGGCCTTGCCAACGGTTATCTGCAATATTGCTTCTCGTAATTACGATGTAAATTAGAGAGTTATTTTGTTTCAATAAAATGAGCTATAGCTACCTGCTCTTGTAAATTAGCGTTGTCCTTTTTCAATTCTTCCACCTGTCGAATTGCACTTCGATAAGCGCTTTCCACTTGCGTTAGATTGCTTTTCAACTCATCGATCTGTAAAACGGAATCTAGAAATCACTGCGCAAAAAAGTTGTGCAGAACTTCGAAAATATGTACTGCAAACTCATAGAGTCTCACTGGAAACCACTCTCAAGTGTCTTAACCTATACCAAACATGTTTCGAGTACTACCCAGAAAAACCTTTCCTAGGACCTTGATAGTGTACTGTTCATTGTCCATTGCGTCCCTACACTTTGTCTCGGAGATCTGTTTTGCAAGCTGTGCCAGTTCTCCTCTGTAGTCATTGTGTGTTTCACGAAGCTCGTCCTAAAACTGTGCATATCTTTAAAGTTTTTATATCTTTAAAGTTCTATTCGTTTAGGCGATAACACAACAGGGACGCCATCTAAATCCACGTAGCTGGCTGCGCAGGCGGTTCGCGTCGCGGCAAGTTCATCACGCAGCCATTGAAGTCTATATGAAAAATCATTTTGGAAACTTCTTTCACTATGGTGGAAAATCCAGTTATCTTATCTTTAGTATTCAGAGGACTTATTTTGGTAACTTCAATGTGTGGCAGAATTTGTTTCTAGTGGATAGCACTGACGATGAAAAAGAAGAAAATGCTTCACCATTATAGAGATTGATAAGTAGGATTTTAGAAAAAACAAGTGGTTTATAGAATTAACTTTAGTCTCTTCAATCTTCA